ATATATACGATAAGTAACATTGCACCAAATACATACTATACACATGCAATAAACAAATTATATAGAAGAAGAAGTGAGATAATAAGAATATTATGGACATTCCTTTAAGAAACCGTTGCGGCTATGGAATTTATATGCCATTCGTTGAATAATAAGTAAATAGCTTTATCAACTGAGGATAAGGCATTGAAGGACCTATCATATGTATCTAGTTTATGAAAGAACCCATATATGATTTCATTATAAAACCTGCTATCTCCTTAATATATACGAAAGGTCATATACCATCAAATACATGCTAGTATACATGCAACAAACAAACTATATACATGCTATCTCCATTATGCACTTAACGATTTGAATGATTTGACTATTTCCACATATATTGAAATTATCAAAAGGACATGTACTGCCACTACATCACAGGCACGCGACGAGTGCCTTATGCATCAAAAAGATTCTTCACAAATGTAAAGTGAACGCACTGGAAAAAAATCCACATTTACAAGCTTGGAAATGTCTTGGAAAGATGATGTTTCCAAGACATTTCCAATTTTGGAAATTTTTGGAAATATGATATTTCCAAATTGGGAATTTTTTCACCATTTTTTTTCTTGTGACGGTTGTTCTATCATTTAAAGTGCATCTTCAAGGTACAATTATGTTTATACATACTAATCGATAGCCCCAATACAGTAACGATTCCCTCTTGCAATGTCCGTGTCACTTTAGAGAATATCTATTAACTAGTTAAAGATCTTTCTGTTTTCCAGAACCACTGCTTTGCATAGAACCGATACTGTCGACATTTTTCACGACCGTGAAATGATAGTGATATATAAACAGCCGTATGACGACAGTGGTTTAACAGTCAACCATGGCATATATACAGCTGTATGACAGCAATATCACAACGGTATATATATCATTCACACGCTAAGGATCAAATCATTGATACAACAGACAACTATGATCTGGGTCTAATTTGGATTAAATATCTAAGCTTATTGTAAGAATGTATCCTAGGTTTCAGTATGTCACTGCATCTTGTGGATCCCATACCTGCTATTGACAGGTGCTGTGTACTTATCAATGACTCATTACGTGATTTGCAAAATGGCTGATTGGTGCCATGAAAACCATTTTTATGGAACTCATGTATCAATTGGCTGTTTGAATAAAGAAATGTTACCGTATTATCATAAATCCAGTTTCAAATGGATACAGATTCACATTAAAATCTTATGTTTAAGTAAATTTCGGAATTTTTGTGATCCTTAGCAACGTGAGTAGTATATATATACACCTCCATCTAAACGAATGACAAACGTGATGTAACATTCCGCCATGACATATATACAACTTGACAGTCATAATGCAAGCGTATATAATGGTCGACATCTAGACGTATGACAAACGTGATATAACATTCAACCATGCCATATATACAGCTGTAAGACAGCCATAGTACAACGGTATGTCATGGCCTACATCTAGACGTATGACAAACGTGATGCAACGGTTAACCATGACATATAGACAGCAGTATGACAGTCATAATACAACGTGATGACGTAACGGTTAACCATGACATATAGACAGCAGTATGACAGTCATAATACAACGGTATGTCAAGACCTACATCTAGACGTATGATAAACGTGATGTAACGGTTAACCATGACATATATACAGCAGTATGACAGCCATAATACAACGGTATGTCATGGCCTACATCTAGACGTATGACAAACGTGATGTAACGGTTAACCATGACATATAGACAGCAGTATGACAGTCATAATGTAAGGGTGTATAATGGCCTACATCTAGAAATATGACAAACGTGATGTAACGGCTAACCATGACATATATACAGTTGTATGACAGATATTAATGAAATGGTTTATAATGGCCTACACATAGACGTATGACAACAGTGATGTAACATTCAACCATGACATGTAGACAGACAGACAGACAGACAGACAGACAGACAGACAGACAGACAGACAGATAGATAGATAGTGGTTAAAGCGTTGGCTCGTCACGCCGAAGACAGGGGTTCGATTCCCCACATGGGTACAATGTATATTGCTGGATTATTGCTACTAGCGGGGTAAAATTAAACTCACTCACTCATATAACGATACGCCATGGTATGTATCAAGTTATTTGGCAGTTCAGAATGGTGTACAGTTAACTAGACAAGTATGTTAGTCTGGTACGAGGTCAAAACAATGAGAAACAACAAGATATCTATCACAATTTACAGGATTTTCTTTCCTAGATTTGCGTCTATGTATGAGAGATCCTCATACCGCGGTATACGTATATTGTAGGGGTGGGCGCTAATACTGGTTAACCGGTATATTGCAGTTCGAACTTCATAATACGATATATTGCGCTACATTTTTCGCGAACCGGTTCACCCGATACGATCGGCAATTTCCGTGACCATGATCGGTATTTTCGTGATGTGGTAAAAAATACTAATAACATTTGTATTTCCTTAATATTATTATACATTAATAGTTTTGAGAATGATTATTGGTCATATAATTGCATTAACATGGCATTTAAATCAAATAATAAAAAATAGATTGGTACCGGCACTCGTTGTATTGATTATCAAACCAAAATGGCGGACGCCGCTGCAGACGCTCTTGAGTTCCAAACTTTAGAGCGAAGTCTTCAATTTGGAAACATTTTGAATTGATCTCTTGTACAATCACATCTGAGTCCTGACTGTGGAAAGTGGCATTGCTTCAAAACAAAGGAAACGGTAATTTCATTACCTTAAACCATGTGTTACACCGTCACAATATATTGCAATACATATTGCAAAACGCCAACACATATCACAATATATCGCAAAACGAACATATTGTAGACATTTCACCTTATTTACATTTGAAGTGGAACCAGTTCAGAGTAATGATAAAAATACAATGTATTACGGAAATTAAAACAAACCATTATTGTGAGTGAGTGAGTTTAGTTTTACGCTGGACTCGGCAATATTCCAGCTATATTATTATGGCGGTGGTCTGTAAATAATCGAGTCTGGACCAGACAATCCAGTGATCAACAGCATGAGCATCGATCTCGCAATTGGGAACCGATGACATGTGTCAACAAAGCCAGCGAGCCTGCAATCCGATCCCGCAAATTAACGTTTGCCGTGATGATGGCGTTTTCACTCCAATCTTTATATAGATTGACGCCGTTCATGCCGTACCTTGGAGTAGCAACGATTATGCATTACTTAAAATATATATTTACTTCGGATTCAATATTTATATCTAAACCTCAACATAAGTTGAACGCATGTGTTCACCCATTTCCAGGTAAACTGGTAAGAATAAATGTTATTCCCATTATGCGATCAGATCCCTGTTCGGGGTGGATTACTCTATTTGTTTCGTTGTGTTGTCTTCAATGACAAATGCATTATGCTGACAGATACGTGCTCCTGCAACTGTCCAAGCCGATATATATTTAGGAAATTCTTCACATCTAAAGGAATATCTGTTCTGAGAGGTAATGGCATAGGTTATAACACATATAGATGTTAACTGTTGGCCAAACATATTTGGACGGGGCTAAAATGCAGCAAAAATAGAATGATTTTTTTTTTGATTTTTTTTTTTTTTTTTTGGGTGAGGGATTTCACAGTACATAATAATGGGCAGAGTGAAGCAGGTATTTGTATGATGACTTTCAGTGTATACACCCGTACACCTTTCTTTAACATTGTATATCCAGGTAACATCTATACAACTACACTGCTATATTGGTGTTCCTTTGCATTATCACATGTGCCTATCGCCGCGGTTCATAAGTGAAAAATGGTCCTTCAGCTGATGAACCAGCGCCATAAATATGTTATTGTCTCCTGAAAACCTTACACTATTTCTGTTTCGAAAACAACGCACACACACACACACACACACACACTCACTCTCTCAATGAACTTTTCCTCTCTCTTCTCCTCCACACACACACACACATGCACACAAATTCCTCCTCCTCTCCTCTCTCTCATTTTATTCAATGTTCAACTTTGAAACAATCGTATTACAAAAAAAAACGAAAAGAATTTTTTTCTAAATAGGTATTAAGGTTTTAATTTTTGTGATTTAAAATCAAAACATAGATTTTGCCACATATACACAAGAGCATTACGCTCAAAGTGTGTCGTCACTCTCATCGTAATCCCTCTTCACATAATTGACACCCTAATGTTTGCCTCTGTAAGCCGATTAGGGGGGTTGCCCCTCCCGAGTGCACATGGGCTTTCAAGACAGCATCGGCACGCGTGATTGATTTTCAGGCAAAATCGATGACTTTGGGTTCAACTGGTAATGCGAGGGCGATTTATCACTAGGGTGGCGATAACCGGCTACTTTGATACATCAGTTATGATATCCGACATTCATCATTCTGAGCAACAGTGGCATCTCACCTGTGTAGCTCTAATATGTAGAGTTACACTGGACAGTGCCTCAGGTATGTGATGTAATTTAGAAACAAAAATGTAGTATGGCGTAATATGACTTTAGTGGATTGCGTTGCAGAATTTCCAATATCGCTTTACAATATTTCTGACACGGTGATAAGTTCACCTAAATATATTGTACAGGTGAAAGTCAAAACAACCTCAGGTTTGTTTAAACAAATCTTTGAACTCTAGATGTAATACGTAATCTCTTAATAAATATTATGACAAAGTTGCGATATGCTGAGAGTGTGGATTATTTTTGAAAGGAATAATAAAGACTTTCATAATTCACATTTGCGTGTCAAAATCAGGGTGTATGACATATGATTTTTTAAAATGGGTTTGCTTTAAAAAGGCGCTGGATACGTGCAACAGGCTTGGATATACTTTATCTCATAAAACATCGTAATACGTGCAAAAAGCCGATACTTTAAGGCTACTTTTTCACAAAGTGGGTTTGTCACACATTAACACTGGAACAGAGTCTAAATACTTACTATGTGTTACCAGCTGATGAAAAATACAAATAATACAAATTGAATTATTTAATAACGGAGTGGTTGTCATCCATATGTTATGTGGAATGCATGGAACAGAGCAACGATGACATAGAAAACGGCATTACACACATACGCGTTTTTGTCATCCCAAGTGTTATGTGGAAGGCATACACACACACAAACGCGCGCGCACACGCACACATGTGTTTATATATTTTTATATGTATATGCATTTTCTTACATTTAACGACTTTACTTGAAATTCGATATGTCATATATACACAAGATGATATATATTTCATATATTGAACATTCTTCAACAAGAGCATGAAATACAAATCTGTCAGTCACATATCTTCCTTGATACACCTGAAATGAAATGAATCGATTTGTACAGACCATTAGGGAATAATTATGGTTCTATACAAATGTGTTGATAACTACACAACTTCGAAAATAATTGCGCCTGAAATATCTTTGCAGCGTGTTAATATATTTGACAGAAGAAACGAGTTGTGAAATAAGACATAAACATGTTTTTCATATTCAGTAAAAAATTTTGAGCTGAAACAACAGTGTGTGCCTTCATCAACAAAAGTATTTTATATTAATGTACAAACCGACAATTCTCTCGTCTTCTCTATGGAAGTATATATCCATGCCTTGTTTATTAAAAACTACATCCATCTGATCTTTCGAACTTATTCGACAAAATGGCTGTTGTCGTTTACTTATATATGCCAGGTAATCCTCATGCATAAAGAAAACATTCCTCGGATTAATTTTGACAAACGGCACAAAGCATCTGAAATCAAGATATATGGGAATTTCTTACATATAATCTCTGACTAAAGAATGTTTTGTGCGTTAAAAGCATAACATAAACAAGTGAAGAGGCGGTCAGATTTCAAAGTGAATGCGTAAGTGTCCCTTTTTGCACTATCGACCAGTATAAATATGTTAATTATTAATCGGATATCGTTTACATATCAAATTTTTATCAAGGTTCTGAGCCTTTACATTTTCCGAACCTACAACCAAGAACTGAAAAGTTCAGGTGATCTTAAATTCCACTTTTCTGTAACTACGTTATCTAATAAGTAAGTCAATTGTCGTTGCATTTAAGTATATGTATCACCACAATCCAGTTTAATACAACTTGTACGAAGAGAGATCAAGCATTTATCGAATAACTACATTATGCCTTATAATGAAATTAACACAGTTTGATCATTAAGTTTGATGACAAAAGAGGTAGCTAGCACAAACCTTGCTCCTGCACGTAGTTTCACAAGCCTCAGTAAAGGCTAACAAGAAAACGGTTTTTCATCTGCAAAATTCTACTTTTTTGTGATTAATGAAGTAAAAATACACTTCTGTAAGTAGAGTGGTAAGACTGACAGGATAGAGTTTAATATCAAGGTACTACTCGTACATATTTAAAATAGTTTTTCGTTATCTTGATAGAATTCAGCCGTTTTTAAACATGAACGCTTTAACATTCATATGTTTATTCTCGATGTCATGCTTTGGTAGCATAGGTAATACATTTCCAAGTTGAATATAAATATTATATGTGTTACTATAAGAGGGGGCGACAACGCATATAGTTAGCTCTTTTGATGGATATTAACACTATAGAAGAGGGGTACTTACGTTCTGTGCACAGAACGTTTGGCAGTATGGTGATGAATGTCTTTTCGAAACATGTGATGTTTTGAATAATTTGCAAAATACTCCATTAAATACCTCAAACCCCCTTACGAAACGCACGGAGAGAAACGCTGCCAAACTTAATTTACTTTGATATCAGGAGGAAAAACCAATCGCTGATGGATCAGCTGCGAGTAAATGCACTCTGAATCATCTGACTGCCGAGGATGAAGATGATAAGTTGATTGTATAGATGAGAAAAAGCTTTCCGATCGGGTTAGACATCAAAAAGTCATTACAAATGAAATTTGATTTATTGAGGACTTTTTCTGCAGTATTTCATCAGATTGGACTCACGCTTAGAAAGGCATGACTAGAAAACACCTACCAAGCATTCATGCAAGCGTCGATTTATTTCCAAAATGTGTTTCGGTGAAGCAGATGTAGCACATAGAAATATAACTTACATTTCAAGAAAAGGTCCGATCACTTGTAGCTTTAAGTAAAACAAATATAGTTGACATGAAAACGAACGTGGATCAAATAAACATATATGATAAATCAAGGGAACATTACATGTATGAGGATATGTGTTATGCGTCTCATTTAATTTTTATAGTTAAATATAAACAGACACACATAAACAAACTAACTAACAAACAAATAAAGTCACACCCCCTCAGCAATGTTTATGTGTTTTATACATCTTACAATGATCATATCTATTTCGGCTTTCACGAGTTGTAGTTGTCATAAACTTCTCAATGACACTCGGATATTGCCATATAATTATCAGTTAAAGATGGGCACCATATCCCAATCAAAGCAATTAAGTATTTTGATCACGGTATGAATATACTGCTCAAAATGTCTTAGTATGTCTGTGTTTCAATATGTATTCATATCCCAATTTCATCTGCAATCAATAACAAGTCTTAAATGTGCATTGCACAGCTGCCTTTTAATGGTTCGGATAAAAAAACTTTATACTGGAGTTTGGCTTCTGTTCACTATGAAGAAAATCTAACTGGGCTGATTGAATACACTAGCGACAGATATAACAAACCTGAGTATATCAAACAGTTCGAATATAGATACAAATAAAACCGATTCATTTGTTACTGTAATATATCAGAAAAACAGTATCTACTAACTCCTAGTGACATATACAAATATTACCAGTCATTCCAAAGATGAAAAATTCTTGCATTATTCACAGAAGCTGTCTTTAATACATATTGGTTACAATAAGTGCGCTCTTTTTTTTCAAAACAAATTTCTAATGTGAAGTAATTCGCATATGTAAACAACATCACTGATGCATTATCTGCTACATATTTGTTCCTTTCATAAACATATTGCAATGCTCTCGTTATGAAAATTACATTCAAATACATTTATGTAATGCCACAATATATTTAAATTGAAGAAGAAGAAATGTCCAGATATGTCAAATCTCGACACACTGCTATAAACAGTAACACTATCTTTGATTCGCTATCGTTCCTTCATCTCAGTATTGTTTACAGGGAGAAGAACAATAAATCTCAACACGAACATTGAAATCAGGACTGGACTTACCTCCACACACAACAAACACAAGCGCTTCATGAATATGTGTGACATGAAGCCATGCACCTTCTCCACTAGTATTTAATGTCGAATATATGAAAAAGTGGTGTTAGCATAACTATAAAAATAAGTCCTCCAAATCCCTCATTTGGCCCAAGGAAGACGCTTGCTTTGTATCAAACACTGGATAATGGTTGGAGCTTTACCTCCAGTATGCAGCTCCCTATTTCATGACAACTGGAAATCCATCGTTAATCCATGTTTGTTTATTATAGCCCCCTTTTCCCTACTAATGTTCCGTGTGTGTGTTTTTGTCACTCAGCGAGACAATCACAGGCTCATCATTTATCGAAATTCAGCTTTGAGGAGGTAGGGTGTTTATAGGTAAATTTTTATATGTTTATAACGTTGTAATACGAATCGAAGAATTGTCAACCTTTGCTAAGAACAACTCAACATCTGCAACTCTTAAGAATAATTAAACGAATGGTAGGGAAAGTAACATGAAAATTAAAAATGCATTTAAAAAAAACACTTTATTCAATCACACAAAGCCATTTTGTTTCCACGAGACTATTTTGTCTGATCGCCCAGTGATTTATTCTTAACATAAAAAAAATAAATTTTTATGATAAAGTATAGTGTTCAACAACACTATTCAATTCGCACTGACAGTTTTTTGCATATATATCACTTAACTATTAAAATGCTATTCAGAGTTAAAAGTAAGAAATGGAAGTCATATGAGTTTCTCTATATGCTTCTGTTATCCAGGTTGGCTTAACGTTTGGACATAGTTAATGCGTTTCGACACCGTTAATGCGGCATATGAAGGATGGGGCCAGTTGGCCTCTGATGGTTGTCATAAACATCACCAAACCGAGACATATTTTCTATCTCATGAATAAATACGCGTTTACGAGACGGAAATTGTCTCATCATTTTACTTGGCTGACATATTCCCTGAAATGTGTTGATAAATCCTTTGAAAATAAGAACATAGGCAATCATTTAGCCATATAATGTGTTTTTTTCACATACATATGTACATATCACTGAACAGTGTGCTCTACCCTCATGATATAACAGTTACTCATTTCTTCTGATTATGTCATTGATGTGTCTGCAGATCTCAATGATGTCATTTTGACGTCATTGATTGTAACGAATATGTATTATGACTATGTGATGTACCAGCTTGACTATATTTTAAGAAGTCAGATCTTTTGAGCGAACTATAAAAACATATATGTGTTTCATTTCTTTATCAAAGTAATTCATTTTGAATATCATTCCTCCATTTACGTACCTGTGAATTCTAGTTTTGGGCCTCTTTGTTAAATAAAATGTTTGTGATAATATCATCGTTTTTATGCAGAAGATATGTGTCATTGCCTCCTACGCATGTTATCAGAAACCACTGAAGTTGATGGGTTGGTCTTCGTGGTCTGATGCCGTGGATAATGCTAGTTCTTTCAGTCACTGGATTGTCTGGTCCAGACAATGCCATTATAGTCTGTATAAAGTTTCGATACTGATGAATATGATGTGAAATATTTTCACTCCCACACATTCACGCATATTATCATTTACTTACTAAATCAGTCTGTAACTGAAAATATTCTGGTTTATCATCGTGTTAGAAGTTAGGATAAATGATGCAAGTTAAAGCACCTCCAGTGAAATCCCGTAAATATAAAACTTCAACACCAGAGGATAATGAGTCACGATTATCTTCCGAAACAGATTACAATGAGCGTAAAAAGCAAATCCGTTTTGACATGTTCGCAAAAAGCGCAAGCATGTCTTGCCCTGACGGTAGCACCTGTCACTCACACAGTTTTCATCAAAAAGTGAAAATGTGAGTGAAGATGTAAGCCTGCTGCCGCACAGCGGTAGGCCTGCCAAACCTCGCATCTCAGACGAAAGGAATAAGGAGTGATTCGAAGGACAAAACTCAATAATATTGATTTGTTGATCAGGTTGGTATCGTCAGAGATTCAGTTAAAACCGTTCATACTTTCAACAAACACATCTCTCACATCCTTGATCTCTTTACAGCCGTTGTACAGTTCTCTCTCAAAATGTTGAGTTTTCGAAGCTTACCACAATACTCGGCAATAACACGGCAGGGGACATCATAAAGGGGATTCCCACATTTTATTAATGTAGAATTTCAAGACAATTCATTTACCTCCAGGCTTCCAAACATAAGGATCGTAAACCACGTTCAATGCCCACAAAACAGAAACACAGTAAATGTAACCATTGACAGCTACACGATCGTGTACTATATGCAAATCATCCAACTAGTTTCTGGTGTGTATGGCTGTATTCATGAGTATGGAAAAGGCAATATCGTTTTTACAAAAATACAACAACACAAAACCCGAAAACACTAAACTGTAAAAATAAAGGCATAAATCTAAACAAAATACAAGCAGATATTTTGGGGTTATGTACAAACAGTGTCTTTATTTGTCAACAGTAAACATTAGCCCTTTTGGAAAAGATTTGATATACTATCCCCGGGTAGTGTTCATAATCTTATCAACAAAATAAGTAAAAGAGCACACCTGTCATAAATTAATTTTTTTGCTGATAGATTTTCCTGAAGTTTAAAACACATGCTTGCTCAATAACGCTGACAAATTGTTGAATGGTGATAGTACTTATATGAAGCGCATGGCGATGTCATTCTGTGTCAATCTTAAGAGGATATACGACTTACTCAAAAACATAAGATCAAAGGGTGGTCTATCAGCCGGCATTCAGACGTATATTTGAAGTCAATCGTAAAGCGTATAAACAAATTTGACGATGAAGTTTATTTCACAAAAAACCTCTTCCGCTAACACCTGGTGCGCCTTAGCGAAGTAATTTGGAACTTTCAAAGCAGTAAATCAAACTATATTGCACCTTTAAACTTGTTACCTTTTGCACCTGTTATACCTGTCACTATAGAAACCACACATTCAAAGTAGGGAGGATACACCTGAAAGGTAAAGTGTAACTAAATTAAATGAAGTATTTCCTTCCACTGGCGTTAATGATGTAACTCGTTCAGATGTATGAATTTAGGAAACGGTTTACACGCTCATGTCATTACTGTCCAGTGCTTTTCAGACAGGTTAATCCATTTGTCAATACAACGACCTCAGTGGCACGGGTCATTCTATTGGTTAAGGTTTAAGACAAACAGCGTTATCTCCCCCTGTATGTTGTAACTAACTCCGACGGCTGAACGTGACAGGTACCCTCAACGAGTTTCGTAGTTTCAGTCAAATTGCTCTTTCAAACGTCCGGCCTAAACAATCAGGGTGTTCGGGGTTCATGTCATTATGAGAGTCCGGCAAATAACAACTTTTGTTTCCTTATCTGTCCCAGCCACGCGTCGTTTCAAAGCGTGCGAGAGCACGTTATCACGTGAGAATTCGCGGCACGAAAATTGATGACGATTGGCCCATCTCACCCCTTTGCTGATTGGCTCATTAATCACAGTCGTGGATAATATTGAAGGAAACAAAATAAGTCTCTTTTGTCAATTTGAAGCAATTTATGATAGAGAGTTAATTCTCAGGTTGGCGCGATATCGGCCTGCACCCGATAGCTCGAGCCGCCCTGCTAGCCACCCAATAGAAGCAGGGTATGGGGCAAAGGGCAGGGGAATTAATTTTCTCTTTTCCTTTGGACTGTCAGGGCCGAAGGGTACAAAAAAGTTTCCCTCCCCACACTCTAAGATATGTCCATCAGTTCTGAAGCAAGGGTCGTCATGATTAATATGATCTTGCAATTCCATTTTGGTGAGTGGTATCAAAGCACTCTTATTCTCAGTGCAAAGTACTTTATCATGACAAGCAAACAGATTCGTTTTTATACTTCCAAGGTATGTTGTTCAATGTCACGTAAGAAACTGATTTATAGGAATTCACATCTGGATCGATTTGGTGGCCACCCCTTAAAAACTGCACTCAAAACACCAATGTAGATTCAATAGTGTTGAAGGTATTATACCTCTTACGAAAACGCTGTAATAAAAAGTCCCAGTTTACGCAACCGTTAATCCACGTTTTTCAAAATAACGTGTGTTAACAATACATATCATCTACTGCAATAACGAGGTGTCAAATAATCTATTGCCTAACGTAACCTTTAAACGAGCAAACTGAAACTTTGTGATTACGAGATTTCAACGGTCACGACTTTTCCCGCCTTCCACTTAGGAAAGACTCTGGAGACGAAATATCGTCTGCGTGCAAAGTCGAGCAGACGGCTTAGGGGGTTTTGCAGACGACATATTAAAGTGAACCATTTATCCTTCAATTCGTTGTTTTGTGCTCACGGAGAACTGTGAAGCTAATCAGCACGCGTATATCAACCACGAGAGCAGGAGCTTTATTACCCACAGCTACTGTTCCTAACATATATAATACATTTATCATAACACAAAGGGATTAGATCCGATCTACAAGTTGCTATGCTTTTCAATCATGCTCCTGGATTTTGGCACGAGTACGAACAGCGATGGGGGCTGTATCACGGGGATGGCATATACTTCTAATCCGTTAGCTCACGTTGACCAATAGCACAGGCTCATAACGCAAACAACTCCTCGGATACTTCCCTTTGTAAATCCAGCAGATTTCACAAATGAACGCAGGGATATGCACTGCAATAAATCTTAATACTTTCACAGGCAGCTTGCGTTTCCTCCATAGCACAGACACGCGACGGGAGCTTTGGGTCTTCTATTACCTAACAATTTCTCAATCAAACGCCGAATCGTTTAGCGGCACAAGGTCTTTTTTAAGTTATAAAATTGTTAATATGATAAGTGGAAGGGGGCCAGGAATTGTTTAGGTCATCCTGCCTCCACGACAAAGGAAACAATCTGAAACAGACATCATGAAGTACACAGATGTGTTGGTACACTACTAGTATTTAAAACCATTTTACTTCAAGTGAATTTACATGCAAATGTGATCTTTAAGCAAACACTGTGTATAACACATAATAAATATATCCGGATATATCCTAGATATACAATTTTCGAAACATTTATAAAAATATTATCACATACATCACAGCTCCAAAACGGGTCATGCAAACCAAAAGCAACATATCCTTGACAATCACTTATTG